ATTTACATTGTCGTTTAACATATAATGACATATAATACGAAGCATTGAGAAGTTCACTTGTTCTTTAAACACAATAAAACGATACGTAAACAATATCACATGGTACAGAGACATATTCAAAAGGTAGTTATTATAAGCAAGTCAAGATTGTCGTTTAACATATTTATACGAAATCTTGAGAAGTTCGCATGTTCTTTTAACATAATAAGACGTTATGTTAACAATATCACATGGCACATATACATATTCAAATGGTAGTTAGACAAGTTAGCATTGTTATTTTACATATCAATACGAAATCTTGAAACATTGAGAAATTCACTTGTTCTTTAAACACAATAAAGCGATACGTAAACAATATCACATGGTACAGAGACATATTCAATAGGTAGTTATTATAAGCAAGTCAAGATTGTCGTTTAACATATTTATACGACTTTACAATAATAAGACGTTATTATTACAATGTAGCATGGCACAAAGACATATTCAAATGATAGTTAGACAAGTCAACATTGTCATTTAACGTATTAATACGAAGAGTCTTGAGAAGTTCAATTTTTCTTTTAACATAATAAGATGTTTTTAACAATATCAAATGGCACATTGATATAATATTCAAATGGTAGCTATACAAGTCAACATTATGTCTTGACATGTAAACACACTGAAAAGAGAGGTTTACATGTCCCATGGACAAGTTACCACAAAATGTGTGAACAAAAGACAGCTGTGGAGTTCAATAACTCTACCCTCCATTTCTGTTTTTTTTTTTTTGTTATTATCGTTCAGAGCATAACGCAGAATAACCCCAGGGTATCAGAGACATCAACTCATAAACCGTTTAAGTGGATAGACCGCCGTGATAAGAAGAAAAGTACAAAAGAATGATTAATGATTTTGGGTAAATTACCCTTTGTTATTTTCATGCTTTAGTCTGTGTAGCCTCGTAATGTATTTAAGATATTAGCTTAAAATTTCATAACATGAAAGAGTTTTCAGAACGAGGTGTAGTTTTACACACAAAATATAACTCTCAACTTGATACTTTTTGGAGTTACTGCCCTTTGTTTACATCATTAGCATATTTGTTGACAGGATCATAACTCAAACCTACTATTACCTGTCACCTGTCCTGTCCTGTTTTGATCCTGTTTTGTTGTTGTTTGTGTGTATTTTTGTTACATTTTGGTTGCTGTTGTTGTTTTCTGTTGCTTTTTTGTTTAAATGACACCAATTAAAGTAAACTATACTCCAATAGTATTGTAAAAATTCAAAAATAATTTGTTCAATAAGTACTTATAAACAAGAAAAAGTGGTATTGAATACAAGATGGTCTGTCACTTTTCATCTGTATTGTTTCCATGCCAGTATGGTTATGTTTGCATTTCTATGTTTCTGATTAACACCAGTGACTTGGTTAATAGTGTTTGCATATACATATGTGAATGCGTTATGGTGAACAGGGTGTACAATAATATATTCATTTTAAATGCACATTTATCGCTTTATGATTGTATTTATTCGCTTCTTAATAAAAAGGTGCGTTATAATCTGTTTTAAAGCAAAATTTTATCACAGAATTTTCGTTATAACTTAATGTAAATACTCAAGCAATCTTCAGTTTGAGGTAACGTGTAATCATTAAAGCAAGTAAAATTGATCAATCCCGTTGAAATGGCATTGTTGTCGGATATTGTTTTAAAAACATGACTTGTTACTATATGTTTAATGATATCAGTATAATTAGGTTATAAATAAAAGGAATTTTACATCAATTAGCAGATCGTCTACATACCTCTAGAGGGTACCACCTTATAAGGCCATCATAATAGTTTTCAATCATTAAAGTTTCACCTCCTAAACTTCCGTAGGGCCTTACTGAATTAGCCAGAATTATGTCTGGCTTCCAAACATCGTTCTGAAATAAAAGATTAACATGTTGTGGTTAGCTTAAATATATATGATAAAATATACTAATCTTTATCTCATTTTTAGCCATACAATAAACTCTATTGTATTACAACTTTACGGCCGAAGCGGTGCCGCCTGAGTGGCAGCGTTTATGTTAGAGTTACTTGGTGAAATCCTCCGACATTGTCATACATTCGCCGACATTGAAACACTTAACATTAAAATGATTTCAGGTGGAACATATTCTATTTGTGTTTCCCTTTGATCAGTAACTCTTTCCGGCTTTTGTTAAGGGAGATAATTAAGAGTTCTTTTAATTAAAAGGTAGAGAAACGGGATTTTAAACATAAAAACGTCGACTTGTATGTAATAACTTATTGTTTTTTCTTTAAAATACATGCATATATTATTTCAAAATACTAATACTAAGTTAAATGGTTTAAAATTCAAGTAATATCACTCGCTAATAAATAATCATGATTTTCTTATTTAATATTTTACATGTAGATATGTACACATATGAAAAAATTGCTGTTGACAGTGGGATAATATTATGTCCAATATAAATGTGAAAAAATATGTATTATTATCATGAAATGCGTATGAGCACATTAGGTAACATATGTAAGAAAAGGCTCGTAACCCAATGCAAAAAAAAAATGTTGACCTCTTTGATATAGATAACCTTATATACGAGGATTGATCAAAAAGTTCTTGGCCCGATATACTTCTGGTAGTCAGAGAACCCAACCTATGGTCTTACTTTTCAATATAATCGCCCTCTTTACCTATGCTTCATCTTGTTAAACCCTTCAAAATAGAACTCTTTTTGGTCCTAAAATAACTCAATAACCTTCATTGACTACAAAGCTTGGTTTTCAGTTTCGGAAACAGGTAGAAAAGTCAGACGGGGCAAAGTCCGGAGAATATGGGGGAGAGGGAAGAACTTCAAAGCCGCAGTCAGTTGCAGCAGCCATCGCAACTTTGGATCTGTGAGCTGGCGCATTGTTGTACAGGAGCAGAACGCATTGAGTCAGTTTGCCCCTCCTTTTACGCGCGATTCCTTGACACAGACGTCTCAATTCGTCTGCATTGTACGTTCCTTTTATGGTACGACCTTGCTGAAGATAGTCAATCTCATATATCCCTTGACTTTCCCAAAAAGATTGAAGCCATCGTCCTCCCTGCTGATGGCACCCTCTTGAATTTTTTCGGAGGGGTGAGCCAAGGTGCTACCACTGCATGCTATGTTTTTTGGATTTTGGATCGGAGTGATGGACCCATGTTTCATCCTGAGTTATAATCAGGTAGATAAAATCAGGTTCATCCTCGTAGCGAGACAAAAGATATCTTGAAATGCAGAGCCTGGTCCGTTTCTGGTCGTCAGTCAACTGTCTGCGGGCCCATCTAGCGGAAACCATTGACTTGCCATAGACATCGGTCAGAATTGCCTGAACTGAATCAAAGCTTATTCCCACTACCTAGCAATGTTTCGCAGGTCTCGCCTTCTGTCGAAAATGACCAGATCGTGCACAGCTTCGGCAGTTTCATCGTTGATGGCCTGTCTTGGCCGCCGAGGCCGCTCATCATTTCTAATGCTGTCCCTGTTCCTCTTAAATTCAGCAGCCCAATTTTTCACAGTGCTATAGGAAGGGGACTCCTTTCCAAGTGTATCCATGAAATAGAGAAAAACAGAATTCCTAAAGAAGGCCCAACACGGCAAATTTAAAATGAGGCAAGAGTCTTCATTGATTTCATTGGGGGAACATTCCTTTTATACAGAGGTACTAAATGACGGCTCTGTGAACAGGCTCAATCAAACCGAGCCTGCAACATTTTTAATTTTGCCGTGTTGGGCTTTCTTTAGGGATTCTTATTTCACTCTATTTTCTCAATTTGATTTAAATGACACACCTCTCTACTGATAAAGTGTGTTTTATGTTACTTAATCTGTGTTAAATATGATAAACAAGATCAACAAGGAAAGACGGCGTTCAATGAACGCAACCCCCACAAGATCCAGCAACAAGAGCCAGTGGCAAGGATCCAAGGAGGACCCCAAACAAAAAAACGGACAGGACACAAGGCAAAGCATTGGGAGGTTAATCACTAAAATCATACATAAGAAGAAATAATTAGTAACTGATAAGGAATTCAAAGAAAACAGATAAATGATTGAAAAATATGCTCATAAAGTCAAAGGACACAGGGGAAGGGGACAAGAAGCCCGGGGAAAGGGGGGGTTAATAAAAGAAATAAAAACTAGAGGCAAAGGAAAGATACTTACCATAGACTAGAAAACAACATGTAACTTGGAAAACCTCGTAACTTGGTAAGTAATCTTCGATACGATATCGACATATCGTGTGTAAATGTCAGTGAAGTGGCTAGAAGTATATCGGGCCGAGAACTTTTTGATCATACCTCGTATATTCTCTTCAACAATGATATTGTAAGTCACAGTCAAAACCTGTTACAATATACTTCAGCTCCGGTATAATATATTGTACTAGTAAGGATTTCCAGATCACTTAGTGTTTTTCTTTTTAAGTAATTTTACTTAAGTAAGTTAACAGTTTTTAGATGATCTTGTGCTCATAAGAACATGATGATGAATTATTGAACAAATGTAACCAATGTGTCTTAAATATGATAAATTGAATTTATCTACATTTACGTATAGAATATCACTTTTGGCCAGTTCATCCATGCTCTGACAACAGGTGATATGTTTTCTTTAAGATATTTATTTATTTGTGCAATAGTGCCACAACACTCAGAGTTTTATAATCAAAATACAATGTATCTCATGGCATTTTTTTAAACAGAAGGTCAGCGGGTGATGTAAACTGCTCTTATAATGTTGCATTATTGTTTTCATAAGGTTATATACGTATAATGATACAACTTCTATAAAGTCGCGTATATTTCTATTGTAGAATGGTCATATGTAGATTTTTATCAGTTTTATTATGTTTTACATAGGTTTGCATATGAAAGAGACTATATTAAACTTGATAAACTAAAAAACAATATATACGGCTTTTCCTGTGGCTAGGTTTAAATAATCTTTACAACCATTGATAGTAAACCATACAACCTAAAAAAAACTTTGTTTAAATAAATAATATGTGGATTGTTCTTATATGAAATGCATCTATAACATTATCATATCTAGATCATTAAGTAGACATTAAGTTAGCTTTACACTGATACCACTAGAGGGTTAATCCGAGTTTTTTCTTGCAAAAACATATGTAAAAACACGAGGACGCATTTAAGGTCCAAGACCACAGGGCAGGGGATTAAATGAGGTCAGGATCTTCTGCATATGCACGAACATAGGTGCATTAGCGCTGTTCTTCCATACAAGTGCAAGTCTCAGAGGTAACTCGGTGTTTCGTTTTTTGTATTTCGTAGAAAGAAACCATTGCTTGTGTCGTGCTTTCCAGGTGCTAATGCAATTTAATTTAACAGATATACTTTAAGATAAAAGTACCGGGGCAGTCTCTGCATAAAGCTGTTACTTACATTGCGCATTGAGTAACGCATATTATTAAACGTGCAATAACGACACATCACGAGAACCTAGATAAGTTAAAGCATGCTTTGTTCTGCAAAAGTGCCATATATAAACTATGCTTCCTTATTTATGCTGCGTCTGAAGATTGCTAAATTGTTTCTCGAGTATACGACTGTGACATGGATATAATATCAAAAAAAAGATGATCTCTTTTCTATAGATTTTCGTTGCTTTAAAAGATGCAAATGTGGAATAAATTAGTTCCATCATAAGATCCACCACATGATGGCGACCGAGTAACGTATATACAAACAAGAGCGATCTAAGCTAGTTATAGAGAGAGGGGGTAAAAAGAGGACATCAAATAAAATGTTCATTGGAATTTATCAAATGTAGTAGAGTAGTAGTAAAATAAAGGCAATGCTTAATGATGTAACTAGAAATGGTAAAAATACCTGAGGCCAGTATGTCAGATATAAATAGTCGTAATCTGTTCTATTCCATTTTAAGAATGCATCGTGCCATTGAATGACCATGTAAGATGATGTCTTCAATGTTTCTGTTATTTCATCTAAATTAATTATTGTTTTAAGAACAAACGTCATGTGTACATCTGAAACAAACAAACAAAATCTAAGAAGATAAACTGAAAACAAATATCTTAAATTTGAGCCAATGCAGTCGAATAAAATCACAAAATTATTGTAAAAAAACAACACACCAAAAAACAACAACAAAAACTTCTTCATTCAGGCATGAAGAAGTTACGGTGAAATTAGTGCCAAAAACAATTCCAGATATTGCAGATGCTTTCAATGTGTTGTAAATATAACATGTGTCTCTACATTAGACGCACTCAATTGATCCGATTGTGTTTAAAACTTAATAAGATGTTGATGATGTTCCTTAGTTATTTTCACTAAATTGAATGTTTGCATAAACTGATATTTTTTGTTTAATTTTTTATCCATAAACACATAAATAGGAGAAATGGGGAGACATCAATTTGAATAGTTTGCATAATAATCAGAGTTACTTTACTGGGTAAGGATATGAAGCAAGTATCAGGCACTTACCAAACATTTCAAGCCGATTAGTAAATGGCTGAATCTTAGAGTTGTAACCCTGATTCACGAAGAGATCTGTGTATAGACGATGTCTTTCCGTAGCGTTGCTGGTTGTGCTGGTTGGTGTTGATACAAACGCACACAGACATCTTGTCGTATACGCTAGCACCAGTAGCAATACATTTAAGTCCATTCTTTGCAGTATCTATGATAGGCTATTTCTGTAATATTGCATTATATATTACTTTAATAGAATGGAATTCATCAATAAAGTCATGTGCTGTTCTATAAAATGTGTGCTTATTTCGGTTGGAAGATAGTATCCCTTGACAGCTAACTAGTAGTATGTTCTAACGCTTTGCTTAATTTATGAAATAGATATCAATTTTGAGTGTGTTAGTTAAGAAACAATATATCCCAAACAGTGATGTTATCAAGGGATAAAATCACAGATTTGGATATATTATTTCGATTCTAACACGACAACAACAAATAAATGTTGCCGTACATGATGTAAACTAAATTGCGTCTGATTTGTTCCCGTACTTATTTTCAGCTCGTCGCATTTAAGTAGTTACGTTAAAAGTGCAGGTCGTGTGAGAAAATACTATAATGCACGAATAATTAACATCTGTTTCCATTCTAACATGTCAAGAAAAATATATAGTTGGACTAGATGTATCTGTTTGTTGTTTTAATTTGTGTTCGCCTCAATGTTTTCAATAGTTCTAAAACGTTCTTTTAAGGCTGTTCCGTTTGGTCGTTAAGTCTACTGTTCGCATAAACATTCTGAGTATATTGAAGTTTGAAAAAGTTGATAAAGTTTTGAGTGTGTTAATTTTATTTCAATTCATATTTATCAAGCAACATACAGAGTTATTAAAGTTAGATAAATGTGAAATTTACATGGTTCACGACATTGAAATAGCGTTCTTGTTTTTACTGTTTTGCACACGCTGTTTGGTTAACCTCAGTCAGCATAGAGGTAACCAACAAAATTAAATGAAAAGATGAATATATCTTTATCACACAAAAAATGAATGTTACTTTCAAAAGTGCCTGCCAAAAAAATATCTTCTTTCAAATGAAAATTCTATCATTGATAATGATAGTCAATATTGACCGTTCAAATTATGTTGTTCAATTTTTTTTTCATTCTTGTTTTATCTCCCTTTAGTCACTACAACACTGTAAAGGTCATATGGCAACTTTCCAGTTTTACTGTGGAGGAATACCTCTGGTGCACCTCTGTAATTTCGGGCACAAACGGACATCCGAATAGAACCATAGATGTTCCGTTAGCTAGTTTGATAGCTTCCTCATTTGAAAAACATCCAAATTCTCTGGCGCAACTCGTACCCTTAGTGAGGAAGGCAAATGGTTTCAAGTCAACAACTTTAACCATTCGGCCATGGAGACCCCATCTCTTACGTACCGCTTTAAGTATCTAATCAGATGAAATATAAGTAATGTATGGCTATAAATTGAGACACAACTGGTTCAAAGTTGAAATCACTTATATTGTAATTGGAAACAATTAACATCATCAAGATTAGAACTTCAGAAGTTCAATCGCAGAATTTTGATGCTGATTAAATGTATCGGAATAGTCAAGTAAGCTTGTTCGAAATTCAAGCTATTTATGACTTCTTATAAAAAACTGTTTTATTGTAAAGTGTTTTAGAAACAGTCGGGTTTTTTTAATTGAATGAATGTCAGAATTATCGCAAATACAATCGTTCAATAAAGAAATTAAAAGAAAACAAAAATGCAATAAGTGTGATTTTCGTGTTAAATGTTGAATTCTGCTTAAGCCGGTGCTAGGGGGCGTTGACGGTAACTTGCACTTTACAGTACGGTCCACGAACAGGCTCAATAAACCGAGCCTGCAACATTTTTCAATTTTGTTGTGTTGGACTTTCTTTAGGGATTCTGTTTTTCTCTATTTTATAAAATTTGATATTACTATGTCTGTTTTATAGACTGTTGTTGTAAGAACAATAAACTATAATGTTTTTGTCGGACCGCTTTGACCACTAAAGTTTAGTAAAGTGTGGTATAATATAGGGAATATCACACCGTACTTCGGACCTCATAGTATTAAATTGACCTCATAGTCATTCCTAAACATAGAACGGATCCAAGCCGAATGCTTGAAGGCTAACCAATTGGTTACTACAATTCTATGAGGCCCTCAGTGCTATTTTTTCAAATCAACATTATATCGTCAATGTCGTCCTCCTCCTTTTCATTATCCATCATTAATATCGTCATGATTTATTCGTTGTGGTCATCACTACTAGTATCATTATTAAAATGGTCTTTTTAATGATGATGATGATGATAATCATCATCATCATTATTCAAACCTGGCATTAGTTTTACTTATAAATTTTGCAATAAGTTTTAATGAGAGACCTAGAAAAAAGTAAAATGATAGACAACACTTATGTTACTTACACAATGCATGAATTCTTGTGAGAAAAAAAAACAAATAGTATTTATGATTTTGTATAGAGCAGAATTAAGGCTGAAACACTATCTTGAAGAAATAAGAAATTAACTAATTAATTAATTATATATTATATTGTAAAGCAATTACGTAAAAACCTGAACAAAAGTCTTCATGATGAACCCTTGATGGAATCCAAAAGGAAAAGCAAGTTCTACTTATGCAGAGCGGCCCTCTGTTCAGCAAGTACCTTTTCACCTTGAGTCAAACTTCTGACATTTTAAATTGAATATACCCTACACCTAAAATACAGACCACGGGTATTATAGATTACCAACACTATCGATCAATTGAAATAAAGCGTATAACTTTTTCATTTTTTTTTTTTTGCTACATTTTATGACAAGTACGTTTACATTCAACGGTACTTTCTTTGCATGATTGATATCTCTTTTCGAATAGAGTATCAAATTGGAGCTCTTTTTCTCTGTTAAGAAATTTTCAAAACAAAGTGCGCTATACAGCCGTACTTTAGGCCATACAAATTAAAACAATAAAATCATGAATTTCTCTATTTCTAGCTATGTTAAAGGAAGGATACATTTCGATATAAATTAATTATAGTTCTTTCTCTGTTAAATGTTGTAGAAAAGACTTTCATTGAAAAGAATTCAGCGGGTGCCATCCTGCAACCACTATAAAACATGATACATTAATTAAAGATGCCTACCAAAATTAGTGACAAATTTTAAAAGTCCATCAATATTATAATTGTAAGCGTATTTTTAAATAAATGTACGTAAATTTATCGCAAGAATTATTTTTATACACGTATAAGGAAATTTTTAAATAATACGAAATCCATTTCTATTCTGATTTAGCGCTCATTTCAATATGACAACGTTTTGGGTGATACAGAAAATAGATACATTTTATGAAACTTACATAAAACCCAAACTACATGTAGCAGGTAAGATTTCTTTGGTCCGGGGTATATAATGTATCGTGCTGTAAATTTATGTTTACATTAAATTTCACTTGTGTCGTTTCATTTAAAGTGATTGACTTCATACCACTTGCCTCTCATCGCTGTACATAGGTTCGATCTCGACAGTCATCGAATTCTTTTAAGTGAGGCTTTCAATGAATTTACATCTGTAACTCTCACACAAAGTTACTATGATGAATGTTATTCTTACTGACTTGTAAAGTCATTTAAATAGGAATTTGAATTGTTTGAAAATAAGATCCAATGAGATGATATGATATTAAATGCATTTTATTACATTCCCATAATTAATTTTGGTTCAATATAACACCAAAACTTATCGAGTAAATGTCTCACAGAACAGGTTCTTCGAAATTTCTGTAATTTTTAGGAAAACATTTATAATTTAAAAAAGTTCGTTATATAGTCACAGTGTTTATGATATTTTAAATGTAAAATTCATAAAATATTTTTTTAATAAAGTCTTACATTTCTTAAGCAACAAAAAACATTTTGTTATAATAACCTTAACATCAGAATTTAAACGACATTATAAGAAAATTATTTGCCTGCACAGTGATGTCGACCGCCATCTTCAACTCCACCTTAAAAATTTCAGATTGCAAATCATATTAAGTCAGTACTCAGTATTTAAGCAGAACTCAGTTGACACCTTCAGAAATTTGGAGCCTAACTTGTGTTGAAATGAATCTGTATTTTCTTTTAAATTTTAATGATTGTCAACATTGTATATGTTTTCATTAGCAATGTCGTGTGGTCTAAATATTTAGGAAAGTCGAAAATTGTGAAATAGGCTTGAAATGAATTTACAACTGTAAACCTCACACTAAGTTATAATGATGAACTTTGGGGTATAATTCTCGATTTTGACCCCTTAAGAGTCTGTTCTTTGTAAAGTTAACCGCACTTTGGGCTGGGACACCAAAGAGTGTTTGATCCAAGAGTGCGGTGTTCAATGGCTCTTACAATGCTCTATATCTATTTTTAAAACACTTTAAAATGCCAGTCCCCAATTTGTACAGAGAAATGCATTGATTTTTGAGAGTCAATATGGGCCTGTAAAAGAAACTAGAAAGAAAGAGTCATTATTACATTTGCATAAAATTGCCTTTTTGTCTATCTTTTCAAGAGTTTTGCAAAGAAAACCTTTATCTTGTAAATTATGATTGACGAAAACAGTTTAGTTCAATGACATTCAGACTGTTTTTAATTCAGAGGTAGATAACCTAAACAATAGAATGGTGCCCCGTAACTCTGCATTTGTAACTTTATCTCACTTTTCTATAAAAACAAATAATTATAATAAATAAATAAAAGCATATACGTTTACCTTAAACGTAAAATCCTTAATATCAGCCTAAGTTGTCCAACATCAATGGCTTTAAAGGTTTAATTCATGGCAGATTACCAACTTTACATACCCATCAAAGCTCGTATGGCACGTATGTTGTCAGAATGTTTAACGAGAACTCCTGAACATAATAGACAAATTCTTAACAATACCATGCATATAATAGAAGCAATATGCAGACGGACAGAAAACTTCATTTTCACTCAAGGTATCACAAATACAACATGAGGATATACACATGTATACAAATAACACAAATTAAGCAATTTATGGTTCCGGTAGGTACGATAAATGTGGTAATCATAATTTGATGTAAATCTAAGATATAAATATTTAATTAAAACGATAGATAAAGCCTTTTAAAATGATCGGTAGTTGTTG